ATCAACCCAATCAAATATTTTTAAAATTGTTAACAATAATAAAAAATATTTCAAACGAAAGTTTAACGAATTTAGATGGTATGTAATCTGATATGAATAAAATTTTTCTAGATGAATGGAGGACATATGAATGTCAACTTTTTTAAATGGAATCATACATTTTTTTAATGTACCATTCGATTCAACTTATTATTATCTTCATAAAAAATATCTTCTAAACCAATGATTTTTTGGAATAAATATCTTGGTATTTTTTGACTATAGATTTTTAGATTATATGCATTTGATTTGTCATACTAACGTCGTACAGACGTCGTACGTACATTGACATTTGATTATTTCGAATCCGTAAAAATAATTAACTTCTATGAAACATCTTTGTATTTACAATTAAGGTTAACTTCAAACAATATTTTCTTTTGAAAATAGCAATATCCAAATAACTACAATTGTTTCAGTTCTGTCGTAAATACAAAGTGCAATAATGAATCATAGCTTTTAATTTTATTATAAATGGCGACAATTTTTTCAGCGGAACAGAAAATATATTATCAAGTGATGCTCGCTAACGTTAAAAATAAAATACATTTTCCGTGCATATAAAAATCCTCAAAAATTGCTAGGTCAGCATAATATTTTTTTTGCATATTTTGCTCCGAGCATATTTTGAGAAAATGATGTTAGTGACGTAGTCAACCTTAAGGAGATTTAAAGAGAGGTTCGAGTGCTGCGATCAATAAAGGATATCATGGTAGGAAAAAGCAGAATTTTACTCTCGCCCGGAACTGTACCGATCTGACTTAAACTGGATCCTTTCTTGATTATCTCTAAACATATTCAAAACACTGAGACAGATAAATCCTTTTTCAATTGAATACTTATATCGCTATTGTTTATACTTAAAACTGTTGCCAAATGCAACACTTTTCTATTTATCGTGTGTATATTTTATAATATAATTTATTTCATATAATTACCTTAATCTCGAGAAATTCTTCAACAAAACAGTGGACGAATGCTTCTAAACACATTATTTAATCACAATGAGAAGTCCAGTTTCCCCGCTCAATGACTGTAAAAAGAAAGTATTTCTGTGTCATTTCTGAGTGACGAGATTCTTCATAAAATATAAAACTAAAGAATTGGGTTACTACTTTCGCAGCAACCTAATAATATATCTATACAGGCTGCTGCACTAATGCGTAATGCTCTTGATTTTTGGGCTGTTACTCTAGCATTGCCTCTCAAATCGTAAGTGTTTCAGGCGATAAAAAATTAAAGAACAGAGGAAGCTTTTTTATACCTAACTAAAAAAATCTTACAGTTAATCTTCATTTGTGAAATGCTACTACTTATACATACTTGTCGGTATTATTGTAACATTGAAAACAATTTTCAATGAATGATAAAAAGGACATCCGTCTTTTCTAAGTTACAAGTGTTTCTTTAAACATCGTCTTTTTAATTATATTCTAAAAAATATACTGTTCCACAAAAAGAACACGGATTCTGTGTATTCTCTGTTACATTGAAAAATAAAATTTCTTCTAAAGGAAGCAACATTGTGCCGAATACAGTAATATCTCTCTAACTGATGCTCAAATTGTGCACAAAAATGGACAATTTGGGAACAGGAGATAGGATTATTCGAGCCTTGTAGCTAGTTTGTTATAGTTGTTGACAATTCGTAACTATGAAAACAAACCGTAAGGCTCCGTATCTCCTCTACCCAAATTGTTCATTTCTGTGGACAATCTGAACGTCAATTAGAGAGACATTATACTGTAAAAGTAATGTCTATTAAAGAGCTTACCCGTGGTTCGTCCAAGACACAATTAATTTAATGCACGATAATGTGAACGCCATAGGGATACTCAAGCTGTCGATGAACGTCACAAAACTTTCAGTTTTACAGTGTGAGATATCTAATATGTAATTGATAAGTTTGTGATAGAACAATGGCGACTATCCAGAAAACTTTGCGCAGACCTGGTAGCTGCGTGCCGGGCCAAATGCCAACAAGATGGAGGCAGAATTTCCCAAGTTTGTTGATCGTAGTGGGCGATGCCATTTTACACGACATTTATTTTATTCGTCTAAATGATCGCTATCTATGGGTCACAAAATTCCATTATCTTCGAAACTTTGCATTCGTCACCCACGCACTCGGTAACGTCTCATGGATTCCCTACAATAGACTGCAAAAATTTTCTCGAAAACTGTGTGAAGAGAGGGAAGAGACAGGCGACAGACAGTTCGCAAACTATTTCATATGCACGCGCATCCTCTGCATAAATATCCCAAATAATACTACGCTGATTAGAGGTTTGCCGAGAGACGAGGGAAGATTCGTCGTTGTACGTAAATTAGACTTGAATAAACGATGGCAATGGAGATCCTGTTAAACTGACGGAGTCAAGTAATGCAGCGATATAAAGTAAAGCCTGAAAAAAAGGAACCTGGAAATAAAAATGTTGATTGCGGGCTCTATGAAATTATAATGTGGCCAGAATTTGAAAAGAAATTGAAGTGTTAGTGTTGTTTCTGCCACAGGAGCGAGCATCGAATCACTTTTATATTGTGGAGATTAGTGCTGGCGAGGAAACCGTCGAAATCACTTCGCAATACTGAATAAATTCAGTCCTTATAATTATTAGAGTTTACCATGTTATTTAAATACACAAGCACGTCACTTGAAATAGTATACACTAAAATAGTTCAACAATTAATTACAAGAAAAGTCACTATCCGATGTACAGTTTGGTGCGAAGGGTAATTTTCAAGACATCGCAAGAAGTACAGACATGTAAGACCCGGACGCTTTCATGATCTATGAACACAGAAATCAAAATTACTAGTGGGTACTGACTTTAGATGTGTTATAAATTGTATCCGTAAAAAGGATAAAGCGATCTGCAATTAACGATCAAATAAATCGAACAGAATCTTTACCCTGGTGAAGCTCGCTAAACTAAGGGTTGAGAAATTTCCAAACGTTAGTGGCAGTCCTGTCTGAGATTTTAGAATTAGAAGTATCAATTGTCGAGTGTTGTTAGGTTGTAAATCGTACCAAGACATTTGGTATACTGCTTCGATGATCATGTTGCTCTAAAATAAGAAGGAAAGTTAGTGCATCTGGGAGGATTAATGATTATTAAAAATTATTTCTTCAATGATTAAATCAGACAATTGTTCTCTCGAAATGTAGACAAGAGTGTATAATTTTTGGTGCAATAGTAATTTTGGTTCTACTCTACAAAATTTTCTAAAATTAATAAAACTGTACATTGATACAGTAATTGATAGGTTAGTAATTAATTACTGATTCTTCTCAATCTTTTCGTATGTATCGAGTAAAGTTTAGGTACACATAATCGACGAAGAAGACGTACTATTTGGAGGAAGTAATATCGAATTAATTATTACCCATATATTCGATGGAATTCATGAAACTTAATTACTTTAGTATTGAGATATTCTCCAGCACAGCAATATACGAATATTTCAAAGCATATCACGATGTAAGCGGACAAACTCTTTAGCAGTAAAGGAAGTCCATTATCTAATCGTGTTGCCTGAAACATGAAATAGGCAACAGAATTAACATAAAGACATTGTTTCTATATGATGAATTATTAAAAGTTACTATAATGTGCTAGTAGTAGTATACGTAAGTTTTATGAGTCCGAAAATTATCAGATTTGTGTGCATTAAAATTTACAAGTAGAACAGACGGACCATACACAGACACAGATTTTGATTCTATAAAATGGATTTACCCAACGGGATGAATAATGCGAAATAATCTGTCCTTACTGTTATAACAAGATATCCGAGACAGCACGTAACAAGAGTATTCGATATCAATTGGCATAGAGATATATGCGTGAAGAGTTTTTCAATCCGCTGTGTAAAAGCGACTATTTCTTGATGTTTGATGGCAACGAATCGTATTTTATCTCTCTCTTCAGTGGTTATGTGCGCTAATACATCGCACAGTATATCGATGAGACATCCTGCGTGAAGTGTCTGAAAGCGATGATACCAAATTATATGAAAGCAATGTTGTTTTTGCTACATATAAATTTATATATAAAATTTTTGCGACGTGTCACTCGTTGTATAATCTATGAAATTCAAGTGCCTCCATGCAAGTTCGATAGACTTTATCGAACAATAACCTTTACTATATATTTTTATTATTGAATAAAATCTGTCAAACTTGCATTCGACCATCTTTAACTCCAACAGTATCAAATGAATATCCGTGACATACGAAAGGCGAACATCATTTGCACAGATCAACAAAATGCACTTTGCACTTTACAATGATATGAATTTAACGTATAGACGTATATTTATTAAAAACATTTGTCTTAAAACAGTCACGTTGAAACAACTGAAACCAGAGAATTGCATTTGTAGTAGTGTTAAAACTACAGGATTTACAAATTTATTACAAAATGAATTGTTCGAATTTAATAGAGTACAGAAATTCAAGAACATCAACTTATCACAATTATCAAAGAAATGTTTGATCATAGAAAATTCTGTTTCACGCTCCTCTCTACCAAATTCAGCTCAAGTTGAACGCAACTGAGCGTGCATCGTGTCAAAATCGAAAAAGTGTTTACACAAGCATAATAATGTACACTTACCACCATAACAAGTAGAGCACTGAACATACCGAAGGTGTACGAGGACGCCGTTTGATGCAAAACTTGTGCAGCGACTATAAGCTCGTAAGAAGGCGATTCGATGGCCTCGAACGGCAAATCCATCTTCAGGAGAAGCTCCCGAGGCATGGTGTCGTTGGTTCTTAGAAACACGAGACCCCCGACTGCGTAGGAGGCCGATGATGCCAAGTAAAGGAACGCAATTGTGGTCGTTAAACGATGTGAAAAATCCGCTGTTTTCGATATCACATTATTCGTATCGATAACAGCATATTTCACACAATCTTCCTCCATGGTTGATATTATTTCACGTAGCACGCTGCGAGATATCGTTATTAAAGGCACCGGTCTTCTTCAGCTAAGAGTTATAGCGACAGACTGTTAGATTAATTTTCGCGATCGAAAAATTCTTGAAAGCCTATTTATTGGTTTTAATTAGAAATTAACTGCTTTGAATACGAGTAAACGGGAAGAATTAACACTAGAACGATCATATAGGATTTGACAGTCTTTGTTTTACAATTGCTAAAATTGTGAAGACGTTTTTGCAATTGCTGGATACATCTATTTGTTGTAACAGATCAAACAAATGTGATTTGTTCTACCGTTCATCATCACATATCAATTTTTTCTACATACTCTGCACACACCTCTTTGCAATTTTTCTAAGTCTTGTTATTGGAATTAACATAAAAAGCTAATAATTTAAACTTTAAGCTCCGAAGAGTAGTTTAAATACATTCTCGGCTTTCGAGAAATTAAGTTGGCTCTTAAACAGTTCTAATTTGGTAAAAAATGTCGAACAATGACAAACTAATTTCGAACATATTCTAGCACAGAAATAGGGATTCTTAACACTAGATTTATGGAACCCGTCAAAATGACGGGTCACTAATTTTTTATTTACAATTATTCATATCGTAAAGATACATTTATGAGTTATTTATTCAATTATTACAATTATTCAAATGTTATACAATAACGCTTGTTAGATATCAGAATAATTCTCTTATTGTTACTTTTATAAACTAATATAAAACAGCTGTTTTTTGTGCTCCGTAAATCTAGTGTTAAGGACATAGAATATATTTTGTAAATAAGTTAAAAGTATATAAGGAGGGTTTATAGTTCATTATACAATACATTTCGAACAATAAATTGTTAGAATAATTATATAATACGAAATTACATTTTTTTATTCGTAAATAAACAAGATAAAAGAATACAAAAATTTAATATGTCTTATTCGACAAATATAAAATTAATTATGTTCGAAAACAAAGCAAAGGCACATCAATTAGTTACCCCACAGTAACCGATTCCACTACCCTACGTTTGTCGCTATGTACACCAAACAATGTAACAATTTCTAACAATATAATAATATTTAACTGATAAATCTTTTGCAATATGTGAGTTGGTTAGGATCATTGTGACGTACGTCATATTTTCCTCATTGTGAGAAACAAGGGGTATTATTATACATATACTAACATGTGTACTGTTTTTTCTTTTACTGATCAAATTTATTGTTAAAATAATTTAGAGTTAAGTTAATTCATAGATAGCCTATTATTTATTTCGCTTGTTTTTTTTTAACATTTTGGCATGTATGGATTACATTTTAAGATAAGTCAAAATTTTCGAAAATGTGACTTAAGCCAATATGTTCCTAACTCACTCATATGTACTATGATATATCATACACTGGCATTGCGCTAATAATTAAAAAGCTTCATTTATTATTTTAATTCGTTGAAACTAGATTGCATCAGCAGCAAAAACAACTTACCCATGATTCGTCCAAATAATAAACAACTTGACGATCAGCAAAGTATACGGAAGAGTGATGCTCATACAATCGATTGTTTTCATAAGACCGTCGCTTTTGAAATGCGTAATTATGTATTTGTACTGGCAGAACTGCCACGCAGCCATGGAAACTATCCAATAAAGTTTATGCAGACCCGGCAATGGTGTGCCGGGCCAAATTCCAACAAAATGAAGCCCATACCGAACTGGTTGACTAATCGTATTCCGTAACGTCATTTCGCGGCAAAACCTATTTCTTAGACTTCGTACTTTCTTTGGTCCGCCGAATCCTATTGTACTCGAAGCATAGTGTCAATCAGCATTACACTCGATAGGATATCAACCAAGTCCCGTGGTAAACTGAAAATCCACTCGGAAACCATGCTCGAGCAGAAGTTCCTGTAAGCGTGGCCCCTAACCCCCGACCATTTGTTTCTTTTCACATGGCCCGCATAAATATTCAGAATAAATGATTGCAGGTTTAGAGAGAACGGAGACAGGCGAGGAGAGATTCGCCGGAATCCGAGTTTTACTTCGGATGATCCGTATCGTCAAGTTTATCGCATAAATGAGCGATTTCCATTAAAAATACAAAGGAAGCGCGCGGCGACGCGTGGGCTCATCTTATATCGATTGGGATAGAGGTTCAGCAAGCCGAAGTTTCGAAACTAAAGAAAAAAATGTGATATCACTCGAGGAAAAATTGAAACGATAATTCCGTTCCTGTCGCGAAGTGCCGAGCACAGAAAAAGTTTCTGTCTACGTGTCTTCTAATCGTCGGAAGTCTGTTATATTCGCAGCATCGTGTCAGTCACTGTTGCACTCGATAGAACATCTACGGAGTCCTACGATCCACAGAAAACCTAATCGGAAACTACTCGATCGGTTGAGACCATGGTTTTTTTCACGAAACGATGATCCGTATTATCAAATTTGTGGTATAAATGAATTAGTCACACTGAAAATGCAAAGCTAGCGCACTACTATTCGAAACTAATGACAAAAATACGATAGAAATAATAATGCGCAGCTGAAACTTCTATAAAAACTTAAACACCGCTACGATTTGAAAGACCGGTTTGTTTCCAGTCGATCGATCTTCGACTGAGAGTAATTATGCAGTGAAAAGGATAGTGTTTGAACAAAAATGGTTTAAATCGGTACAGGAGAAATTTTTCGTTCATCTTGTCGATGCAGATCGTTCAGTGTTAATAAAGGCAATATTTAAAACTGCTGTGGGTTAAATACATCTGGGAATCATGGTGTCATAGTTGTCACGATAGAGATTCACTTTATATTGCAAATGCTTAAATTACTTAACTTAAATTACCGTTGCAATAGTCATTCAGAAATCCCATAAAGTTAGCACAATTCATGTTCTCTGTATTTCACAATTCCTCAGCCTTTACTGCATAATTTGTTGACGCCCTAGATCAGGGCTCGGAATTAACTTGTCCGCGACAAAGCATTTTCGAAGACTGGTCTGAAATGTGCTGCAGAGTGGTGGAGGGGAGATCTCGCAAATGGGATTGGATGATGCCGATGGACTCCAATGGCAATTTCCAATGGCAGTGTCGCCAGCACCGGAAATGCTCTGTCGCGGACAAGTTAATTCCGAACCCTGCCCTAGATCTTACAAAGACCTTCTAAGTGTTTGTTTCGGGTTAATTAATGTTATACTTCACTGTTTGTGCTAAAGCGATATTGCAACGTGAAAACAGAAATATGATATGAAGGACATATAACAAGGAATAACTATTTTTCTTGAGCTATAAAAATTGTATATTCCAGAATATGTATGCCAGAGATTTTCAGAAGAAATAATATCAGAAGTTATGTGGAGAAATAAAAATTACTTCACTTAAAAACGTGTTGCTTGAATTTTGAATTTTAAATTGTCGTATGCTATATGTACAATACTTGCAAAATTTAAATTTCAGGACATCGCAAGAAGTACTGACATGTAAGACGCTGACGCCTTCATGATCTAGAAAGAGAATGCATAAAGTTTCTTTTATTATTTAAATTGGTATATATGTATTTTTATATTATAAACAAGCGTTTTTTGCAAATATCAGCTACTGTCATGCGTATAACATAAAAATCTTACACTGGAGAAGCTTTCCAAATTAAGGTTCGAAAACTTTCCAAAAGTCAGAGGCAGTCCTTTTTGAGCTTTTAGTATTAAAAGCACAAGTTGCCGACTCTTAATCGGTTCCATGTTGTACCAAAGTGATCCATACACTGTGTCGCCGATCATTCTGCTCTAAAAATTTGCAGAAAATTGTTCGTGCACTTTTTTCGGAAACGAATGTGAGGAATACAGCAAAATACAAAATACAATTAACCCTCATACATCCTTCGTATCGATTTGCGATTAATCTTATTTTACACTAATATCTCTTATCGGAATTTTTCATTGTCAAAGAAGAAAATAAGATCAATTATTTACCATTTCATCATACTGATGTCTTTGTTATGTCACTTAATTTTACACCAAGAGACAAATTAACACTTTAATTACTTTACTTACTAATAGGCTTTTCGATCATTGAACTTATGTCTAAGAAAAACCCGGTAATTTTTTGTTAAATGATAATTTCTAAAAAACTTATCACATTGTATTAATTCTAGCATGCTTAAGGGAGAATCACAGAATTTTATACATGTACTTTTTTCTAATAATATTCTTTTATAAAATTTTTATATTTTATTTTTGCAGGAACCCAAATGTATTATTTAACAGTATTGTATAAATAAATATACCTCGAATAGAAAAAAGAAATATTTATTGTTTACTTTTTCTTACATGGATACAAAATGGCTCTCTCTTAAGCAGACCTTAAACCTTCTATAGGGTTGTTGCAAAAGTAATTTCGCTTTTCCAAATAGATAGTTTACAAAAAAATCGATATTGCTTTGGCAATATCTCAATACTACCTTAAGCATCCTAGAGACACAATCTAACTAATTTTATGGATTATGGATGAGATTATTGTAGTTTTTGAAAAATTTTTTAAGAAATTCTCAGCTTTTGATCTTCAACTGTAAAAGAAATATTAAAAAACTTGACGGTAGTTAAGAGTGATTGGGGAGGTTGAATCGAATGCTCTTTTTATCCGAAACATGAACATACCACTGCACATTGGAATCGGTGACAGAGGAGATAAACTTCGTTTCAGGTTCTAAGCCAAAGAAATCTGCGCAAATATCTGCAATTTATTTACTACAAATCTAATTATAAGTGTATTTGGAAACAATGAAGTTGATGACGTAGTAAATCACGGGAGGAAAGCCAAAGAGAAGTTTGAGTGCAGTGGTCAACAAAGGATATCATAACAGCAGTAAACAGAACTGTAGTTCAGTGCTCTGGATTATATTGAATCTCCGTCGTAGCTTTCACCCGCACTGCTCTGACAAACAAGAATTAACTGAAACGAAGTTCGACCGACACCGCCATTGACTGTCAACAACGTTAACCCCCGACTGACGAGATAGAGTTTCGAAGTTATCGCAGTAGAATTTCACAAGTGATTGATTATTCAACTATATCTGGTAGCAACCAAATTTTTACGAGTTCAAATTCTTTGAATTCTTGGTGTAATTAAGTAAAACATGCGTTGTGTGAACGAATTTGTGACTAGACTGCGGATCTTTCTGCAAAACAGAAATCTTCTGCATCAGTTGCAGAATACTGGAGACAAAACAAAAATTGTTCAATCTTCATCAATCATTTTATTGATATAAATATATCACTGAAAATATATATGTATATATGTATGTATGTATGTATGTATATATAATATACATATATGTATATATATATATATATATATATATATATATATATATATATATATATATATATATATATAT